CGATCGGGGTTCGATTCCCGGTCAGGGCACGTGCCCGGGTTGCGGGCTCGATCAATGACTCTCTCATCATTGATGTTTCTCTTTCTCTCTCCCTCTCCTTTCCTCTCTCTGAAATCAATAAAGATATATTTAAAGAAATAATAATAAAATAAAATAAAATCAACCAGGGTCGCCCTGGCCAGTGTGGCTCAGTGGTTAGAGCCTCGGCTCGCACCCTGAAGGGTCTCGGATTCGATTTCCGTACCTGGGTTGCAGGTTCGATCCCCGGCCCTGGTCGGGGCGCGTTCAGGGGGCAGCCGATGGATGTGTCTCTCTCACATCCATGTTCCTCTCTCTCTCCCTCCCTCCCTTCTAGTCTCTCTAAAAATCAATGGAAAAAATATCCTCAAGTGAGGATTTTTTAAAAAAATTAAACCTCAAACAGGGCTCTCGGTCGTCCCTCTGTCTCCTCTCCTCCAGGCAGCCCACCTGCTGCGGCTCTAGGTGACTCTCAGGTGGCTCCAGGTGACTCTCGGGTGGCTCTCAGGTGGCTCTCAGGTGACTCTCAGGTGACTCTCCCTCCAGGCTCCAGGCAGCCTGGTCNGTGGCTCTCAGGTGACTCTCAGGTGACTCTCCCTCCAGGCCCCAGGCAGCCTGGTCGCCTCCCTTCTCCAGAGCAGTTTGGCTTATTGGTCGTACTCCTAGAAAAAGGTGACACCCTCCACTGGGTCCATTTCTCCAAATGTTAGGGGAAGCGTTTCTAAGACACGATATCGATCGCCTCTTCCCAGGAAGACGTTAGGGGCCAGTTAGCTGCGGTCCCGGCCGCCGTGAGCGATGGGCTCCTCAGTTTCAATTATGCAAAGAGGCACCTGGACGGAACATGCAGGGCGGCCTCTCCGCCCCGGAGACCCGCCGGATAATCAGCCGCCCAGCCGGGCGAGTCTGCGGGCGCCCGGAAGGAAGCAGGGCAGCCGCGGGGCCACGGGGACATCAAGATAATGGATGGAATTAATTACAAGAACTGGAGTGCGGGGGTTTTCAGAAGGACGCGTCAAGACCAAGATTTAGGAACATCCCCACGTAAATTGGGGATTCAGTGAAGCATTTCTGGAAAAATAAGACACGTTTCCTCACCTCATCTCTCCCCACATCCTGGGGAAAAGGGGGTGACGTGGGGTTTGGTCTTTGTTGTTGGATCTTCATTGCCAGGTTATCGGGCCCTGGCCAGCGTGGCTCAGTGGTTAGAGCCTCGGCGTGGGCACGGAAGGGTCTCGGGTTCGATTCCCGGTCAAGGGCACGTACCTGGGTTGCAGGTTCGATCCCTGGCACCTGGTTGNGTACCTGGGTTGCAGGTTCGATCCCTGGCGCCTGGTCGGGGTGCGTGCAGGAGGCAACCAATTGATGTCTCTCTCACATCGATGTTTCCCTTCTCTCTCTCTCTATCTCTCCCCTTCCCATCCCTCTAATATCAATGGAAAAAATATCCTTGGGTGAGCACTAACAAAAAGAAAAAACTCAGCTCAGTGGGAGTGAGGGGGAGGGAGCGGATGAGACAGAAAGCTGTGGGCACAGGGACGTTTTGGAATATAAGGCTCTAACCCAAAGTGAACTTAGCCCGGGACAACCCTGGACTGGCTATTTGTCCCCCAAGTGCTGAACACCAGTATCAGCTGTTTTTGCACAACGTATTAAAAAAAGCAATTTGTGGAATTGGTTTTCCCCTCCTGTGACCAATGTTCCGGGAAACAGGTTTTCAGNGCTGAACACCAGTATCAGCTGTTTTTGCACAACGTATTAAAAAAAGCAATTTGTGGAAATGGTTTTCCCCTCCTGTGACCAATGTTCCGGGAAACAGGTTTTCAGATATTCAGTTTTAAGGCAAATCTAACGGTGTCAGAAGAAACCACCGTAGCCTATATTCAAGAACTCGTCAGAGAGCAGGCCTAGAAAAACCAGTCCCACCGACTTCCGACTTTCAGCGCTTGTTTCCACGACCAGAAGTATTTGGGGCCCGTTTTAAAGAAAGAAACATAAATACCACAGATAAATAGAGAGCGCAAAGAAAAGAAGGACTTTCTCGCTCGGAGGAACAGCTCCTTTCGGGGAGATGGAGCGTTTTGTGCACCTTTTGAGGCCAGGCGTTGTGCAGACGAAACTCTTGAAACCTGTGCTCTTCAAAGGTCGGTTTCCTTTGTACATCTGGGGGTGGTTGTTTTTTTGGCTCCTGATGGAAGGGACACCAGACACAAGGGGTCCNGGGGCCCGTTTTAAAGAAAGAAACATAAATACTGCAGATAAATAGAGAGCGCAAAGAAAAGAAAGACTTTCTCGCTCGGAGGAACAGCTTCTTTCGGGGAGATGGAGCGTTTTGTGCACCTTTTGAGGCCAGGCGTTGTGCAGACGAAACTCTTGAAACCTGTGCTCTTCAAAGGTCGGTTTCCTTTGTACATCTGGGGGTGGTTGTTTTTTGGCTCGTGATGGAAGGGATACCGGACACAAGGGGTCCGAGGCCGCCTGTCACGACTTGAGCCAAATTAAGCAGAGACAGGGTTGAATCACGTGTGAGCGTTTATTCCAATAACGCCGGGAGTAAGGGGAGAGCAGTCGGTCACCCTGGACAGTCTGCTCCGAGCCCCTCGCCAGTTGGCTGATTACATGCAGGTGAGGGACAACGTAACTACGTAACTATGTAACTACGTAACTACGTGCAGCTGCAAGTGTAGCAGGGAAAGGAGCGGGGAAGGTCTGCAGTCCGGCCTTCAGGAGCCCAAAACCGGCAACAAGGTGGCGGATCTCTGATGTTACAGACAGTTCAGCCTGTTCCTGGGACCTGAGAATGGTCAGCATCCCCGAGGCAAACTCCCAGAGGGGGTCAGGGTCCCGGCACAGCAACCAAATCGAAACACGTCCTGTCCTTGGTCTGTTCTCAAAATGTATTTTCTTTTCTGAGTGATGGACCCACGGAGGCATCTTATCTTTTTACAGCCTTGTTTCACCCTCCGGTTTCCCAGGGTCTGTGAGAAAACCTCTGTTCTGTAGTTAGGGAGGCGAATGACTGGTAAACAAGGGTGACTGTGTTCTTATTAGTGCCCTTCCCCCGTCAGAGGGCCTGTCCCGCGGAGGAGCGTGTTACATTGTTTCATCCTGCAGACGAGTAAATTGTTTCGCCTGCCTCCTGTTTCCCCGGTTTTTTAAAGAGTAGCACTGAGGGGCTACTTTGTGGAAGAGAGTGTTAGATTGTTTCATCTTGGAGATGAGAAAACTGTTTCGTCTGCCTCCTGTTTCCTTTTATTTTATTTTATTTTATTTTTTATTTTATTTTATTATTTTATTTCATTTTATTTTTTTGAGTAGCCTGTGTGTCATAACCACACTTTCATTGTTAAGGTTTTCCGTTTGCGCTGAGTTTGCTCTGGGAGGCTTCAGGCAAATCAGTCCTTGGCAGACCCAGTATCTTGGGTTTTATCTGTCTCTGCCTCTGGACTCTCTCTTGTGTTTTTTTTTTTTAATCCTTCCAGTTCGTGGCTCAGTTTTCCAGACACTTTATTACACTTCCCATCCATTTAGGCTTTTTTTCCCCCTCTCTGCCTGACCACACGAACAGAGATTTGAAAATGGGTAGTTTGCTCGGCTCCTGTTCCCGTTGCCTTTACGAGGTTATTCTCATCTGTCTCCCTTTCCTCACTGGTTCCGCTGAGAAGATAGTCACGGGGCTGAGTTTTGGGGTCAGTTCGTGTATCGAGAGAGGGACGCAAAGGGATGAGTCTCTGGGGAATGTTTGCTTGGGGATGGCACAACCAGGAGATAAATTGAAATCACTGTTTCTGGGTGAGTTAAAGAAATAGGCCTCAACCAAGAGAGTATATGTCGCCCTGGCCAGTGAGGCTCAGTTGGTTGGAGGATCGTCCTGTGCACCGTAGGGTCGCAGGTTCAATCCCCGGTCAGGGCACATACCCAGGTGGCGGGTTAGGTCCCCAATCAGTACATGCGGGAGGCAACCGATCAGTGTTTCTCATGTCGATGTTTTTCTCTGTCTCCCTCCCCCTTTCTCTCTCTCAAATCAATTAAATTTAAAAACACATTTTTTAAAAAGAAAGCCTATGTTCCTTACTTTGCATACTTACTGCATGTGTTGGTTTCCTGAATTGTTCCGTTCGTGACCATCAGCGTGGACTTGCCGGTTGAGAGCTAAGAGATACACCCTTTGCTCGGGCAATTTCCAGTGTGTTCAGAGAGAGACGGACTTCAGATCAAATCTCGCTTGGGTTGCACTTAAATTCCTTAAGATCCCATTTTCCTGGGGCCCGGGTGCATCCCCTGTGACAGGTGCTTCTCATGAGATCTCTCCTCTTTGACCAGCTGTCCCTCACCTGCTCCCCTTAGAAAGGTGCCTTAAATGCTGGTCCCCAGGGTGCCGACTCTCAGAAGTCACACAGGGACAGGGAGGTGAAATGCGCAGCCGAGATCTGGGGAATCCAGTATTTGGGAAACACTGTTTGGGTTGTTTGTTTCCTTTGTTTTGAAAACTACACTCCCCCCCCCATCCCCACAATGAACTCTTAGTTTATCTAAAACATGAACATCAAACCCCATAGAGAGTCTGCCCAACGAAGCCTGTCTCGGCTTCATTACCGCCCCTCTCAGAGGGGACACTGTGGAATTTGCCGTAATTTACAGAAAACTCCCCGAGTACGTGGGTCTCAGTGTCCCCGTGAGTTCTGAGCTGCATTTCGTGGGAATCACAGCCCTGATTTAAGCACGAGCTGGGTAGCCATGGAGATGACATCAGGCCCCCGGCTGCCCCTTAAACCATGTACAAGTGACGGAAGTAAAGGAAACGGGGCACTCGAATTAGCTCCCTAAGTCAATCGAGAGGCTCTGCTCCCAGGGCTCCTGAAAGGCTACCTGGGTCCGCTGATGTTTGTTATCGTTCACAGAGATTTGAAAAGTGTCCCAGTCACAGCCTCGCTCTCAATGTTTCTTTTGTTTTGTTTTGTTTTGTTTCTTGTGTGTTTCAGATACATCGACACTCCTATACTGGATACTATGTCCTGAGCAAAATTCCTCACGGGTAAGATTGTTTCTTCTTTTACCTTTACTGGGAAATCTGCAGCACTGGAGTCTTGACTTTTCACAGCACAGGGACCTCTGGGACCCCAGGCCAGGGCCAGGGATTCTCCTGAATGCAGCACTTGCCCCCCTGTGGAGCCTTCTTCCCCGGCCAGTTCCACCGGCCCTGCTCTGGTGCCCTGGGTTTTGTCACCAGCTGCAGGAGGGGGAGTGGGACCAGCCCTGGGACTCCCAGCAGGGCTCCTGGTCACCTACGTAGTAGAGAGGGTGGCACCCCCAAGCTCATGCAGCCTCTCAAAAATATGTGATCAGGGTCCTGGCCAGTGTGGCTCAGTTGGTTGGGATTGTCCCAGGCACCAAAAGGTCACCGGTTCGATACCCAGTCAGGGCACATGCCCAGTAGGGGGCATGCAGGAGGCAGCCGATCAATGTCTCTCTCTCAGCATTGATGTTTCTCTCCCTCTCCTTTTCCCTTCTCCTCTCTAAAGTCAATAAAAACATATATTTTTTAAAATGTATGATCAGGCCCGGCCGGTGTGGCTCAGTGGTTGAGCATCAACCTAAGATCCAGGAGATCGGGGTTCGATTCCTGGTCAGGGCACATGCCCAGGTTTCACNGCCAGTGTGGCTCAGTTGGTTGGGATTGTCCCAGGCACCAAAAGGTCACCTGTTCCATACCCGGTCAGGGCACATGCCCGGGTTTCACGCTCCATCCCCAGCAGGGGGCGTGCAGAAGGCAGCCGATCAGTGACTCTCTCATAGATGTTTCCATCTCTCTCGCTCTCTCTGAAATCAACTAAAACAANCATCCCCAGCAGGGGGCGTGCAGGAGGCAGCCGATCAGTGACTCTCTCATAGATGTTTCCATCTCTCTCTCGCTTTCTCTGAAATCAACTAAAACATGTTTTTAAAAAAATGCCTGGTCGGGGCCCCAGNTCTCTGAAATCAACTAAAACAAGTTTTTAAAAAAATGCCTGGTCGGGGCCCCAGAGTGTGTGTGGGAGGGAACGATGTGAGGGGAAGCGTGACTTCGCGAGGTTTCCAGTGCTGGGTGGACAGACCCGCACAGAGCACGCGAGGGGGTTGTAGGGGTTCATCTCTGGAGCCCAAAGGCAGTAAGACCTGGTTCCAGTTTGGTGGCACCATCTGCTGAGTGGGACACATGGGAAAATGGTCGCAGGTCTGGGAACGCGGGGCAGGGGTGGCTTTTTATTGCTTTCATTTCTCTTCTTTCTCTCCCCCCCCCTTTTCT